AATTTTAAGTCACTATTGAGTGGACATGTCCGGTTATGCAACAGGTTTATGATAAATTTTGGCGAGACGTTTTTAACTAAGTATTTTGTTTCTGTCCTGGGATTGTTTCTGTCATTAAGTTTGAGATGTTTAAGAGGATTCGGCACTTGTTCCTCTTTTATGGCAATTCGGAATTTTGTAGAAGAATTTTCCTCTTACTGATTCTGTTGAGTACCCTTCGCTAGTATATCGGCCTCTTGTTTGCCCTAGGTCCCCCAAAAGACTGTCTGTTTTCTATTCCATCTTCTTCAACAGTGTATAGTCCCATGATGATCCTGTTCTTACCAGTAATGAGATCAATACTTCGTGCATAGCCGAGCTGTCAAAATGCAGTCTCTATCCGTAAATTCGGTCACAAGAGTTCAGGATGTTTAAAATTCTTCAAACGTCTTCAAACAAAATTATTGATTGTATAAATTATTAATCCGAATAAGTACTGATTACTGGAAAACGTCATATATAACATACGTATTTGCATATAACATAGCACGTGTGGTGAAATGATATGGTAATTTTACCAGTGTTAACTAAATGTTAGAGCAGTTTGAGTAGTATTATTGAACCAAAATACAACCGACAATTCCATAGTACGATTACAATAGTCATCGTAACAAAAATTTAATATGAGCCTTAATTTTTAAAATTAACGTAATTGGAGACACAAATAATTTAAATATGTGTTTTAAATCTATTCTCTATTCATGTCATTTTCTAATAAATAATTCATTTCAAAAATTGGAAAATTTGCGTTTATATCATTTTGCTCTACCAACCGTAAATTCCATATTTTAATTTTTAATTCATGAAGTGATATCGTTTTTTTTAATAACATCTCATAAGTCATTTAAGCTAAGTGATCCCTAATGCCTTTGTAAACGTACCGTAGTAATTTATCATCATAAATTAATTCATGAATATCATGTAAATTTCAATTAGGAAAGACAACTTCATTCAATTTCCTTCATTTCATTTTTCCATTATAAATTTTATTATTCTTTGAACTAAACAAATGATTGATAAAATATCAATTGCATAATATAGGAACTAAATTGGGAATAGGTTAGTACACCACTTTACAATACCTTTTCATGTTATGATCAATTAAAAGCCATGGTCTATGGCACGAATCGAACCCAGAACTACTAGCGTATCCAATACCAGTCGGACCGTCTAAACACTAGAACGCTGCGGTCTCTTAAACTTGATTGATCTTTGAACCTCTTGACAAAATTTAGTATGATCTATTATTTAAACTATGGATCTAACAAGGAAAAAGATAATATTTAAGAAATTTTTAAAAACTATAATTTAACCGGAATTGGGTCTTAAAATAAGCCCCATATCGTTTTTGTATTGTAACTTTCATGAGAATTGTAGATACTTAGGAGGAAATTTAATTAACTACCTCTTCCTATCGTCCATGTAATTTTGTAATTGTGTATTCCCAGAACTTCTCAGGTTTTTGAGCGATAAACTCCATCAATTTCGGGCCTGTAAGTGGCTATAAGTGCGCTTTTGTGTTAGTTTTAAATATAGTGGCACTGGAAATAGGGCCATAATTTTCTCCCCTTCGATATTTTCTTCTTTTACACGTATATCACAGCCAGTTATGAATATGTAGTGTAGATAGTTAGCATATAAATTTTTTTATAAAAACAGCGAGAAGGGTCGGCAGTAGCCGGAGGGTCAAATGTTTTTAATTCAACAGAAAGACCCAACCCCTAAGGGTTATTAAAGCAAATCACCCGCCATTTGCCCTTATTAAATATCTGGGTGGTTAAGGACAAAACATCTTCAAATTCTTTAATCTTAAGAATTTAAATGACAATATTTTATTATTTCTACTTTTAAAATACGTATTTCTGTTACTGTTGATATACAACGAATTTGTTTGATTATATTTGGGGGTGGCGCATTTTTACCCTTTTACGTAGCATGAATAATGGATCAGCTAAATTGGCTTTTGTTCCGCGGTTATTACTAATTTTACCCCGCCTGCCCTGATTCGAATGAAAAAGAGTTTATAAGTTATTTTTTTAATAATAAAGTTTAAACATTCCATTTTAAATGCATTGCTGCAGTTATAAAGGCAGATATATAAAACGGAACCCTCGTTATTCAAAGAACAACAAAAATGGAGGAATAATTTTCGATTAGATATTGTTGAAATTAAATGTCTAAGGATTTCAAATAACGTGGCATCAAATATTGAAGTCATTTTGTACGTTCACATTAATTATCCAAATATTAAAATAATTACAAAAACGATTAAACCTCATTTAGATATTGTTGAAATTAAATGCAATGCATGATACATATAATTGATGATAAATACATAATTTTAATTAGGTTTTTATCATATATATTAGACAATTTTGTACGAAGATAATAGCTGCGAAGTGGGAGAGTAAACTCTTTTGCACTTCTTGTTAATCTTTACATACACTGAGAGGCAAAAAAAAGTGGCCACCCTCATTTTTTTTACTAAATACTTGCAGTCGTTATAATTGTTTTTTGTTTACTGGATATGGTTAAAGAAAAATATAATATATACCTAAATAAAAAAGTAAATAAAAATTAAACTGAGTAAAACAATTTTACTAAAAAAGTTCCTATGGAAACAATGAAGAATATATTCAATTCAGTACGGAGTATTTCCTTCTCTTGGTTGATCACAGCTTGCATTCGTCGTGGCATCGACTTTTGAATGTAGTGCTTTGGAATATTTTCATACCCTCCAACAGCGCCATTCTGAATTCCTGCAAGCTCTCTGGCATCACTGGGTGTGACTTTTTGCCTTCTTTGACAACTCTAAAGTCCAAAGGTGTTCGATAGGGTTTAAATCGGGACGATAGCACGATTGTCATGCGTAAAAATAATCGTCGCCAGTTAGTAGCATATGAAGAGCAACTTCTTCTGATAACACATCTTCACTTTATCGCGCAGCTGCTAGGGAACCCTCGATGAAGATCAAGTTTGTGCGACCTTCCACAGAAATGTTTGCCCAAACCATAATAACACCTCCATAGCTTCTTCGGAGTGAAACTGTTGCAGGGATATATCGCTCTCTTGTTCTTCTCCAAATCTTCTCTCGGCCCTCAGAAAACCTCTCGAACAACACCATGAGTCATCTGCAAACAAGATTTTAGTCCAATTTTGCTCAGACCAATTAATGTACAATAATTTCTTGCGAAACTTAACCGAGTTGTTCTGCACCTTGTCAGAAGTTCTGGCCCCGTGGAAGGCCTTCTCGCACGTAATTCAGCTTCTGAAAATCTTCGCCTTATAGTGCGTAAACTTTCTAACATTTCTAACTTGTTGAAGTCGTTGCTTGATCTCAACAGGGGTAGAATGCCGATTACGGAGTACATTCGAAACAATAAAACGTTCATACGCTTGACTTCTTCCATCTTCCGACAATGTTATGATTCTATCCATATCTGTATCACTTAAAACCAACACTCGAACAAATTTGAAACTAACAAATGTACAACATAAAAACATCAAACCACCGGAACATTAGAAAGAAGCTTTACGCCATTAAAACGGACCAAATATTGTTGTAAAATGATCAATGGAGTATTGCCTAAGAGATAATTAAAAATATTAAGGGTGACCACTACTTTGTTTCTCAATGTAGTTCCGCTTGGTCACTTAGGACCTCAAATTAATTCATTGTAACAAATGTAAAGAAGAATGAAACTAATATCGGTACTATCAAGTTTTTCTGTCCAATGATGGCGCCCCTAAAACATTAATATTAATTTAGGTTAAGAGCAGGACTCTTTAGAAGTCGATGAGGATTATTGGGAAGAGATCAGAAGTTGTACGTGAGGATTAGAGTGGGATTTGTGATTAGTGTGGAATTTTTTGTAACTTGCAACTTCTTTTATGAAAGAACCACATAGGTCGTTACTGATGGTTAGGTTGGAAACATAGAATGGGGCGTTCAAAATCTAAGGATTCGTGATTGTAGGGTCTGGATATTGCAGAGATTTGAAGTTTTGGCTGAATCTTATATGCCGTGTGCCAATAATGAATTCAGTATTGAGTTGTATATGAGTTTTTATTGTCGAGGGAGAGTTTGGATCTGTTGTCTAGTAGTATTTCTGTTATGTGTTATGTCATATTGAATCGTGTGAAAGTTTAAAGTGACAGATGCGACGGCGGAAGGAGGTGTAGTGATCTATAACGGGGTCGGAGTTGAAGGATAAAAGGGTAGCGTCATCAGAGTATGTTTGGATGATGGTGTCGGTATTTGAAGGGATGTCAGCAGTATATACTTACTGCAGTTGTGTACTGATGACGCTACCATAGGGGACGCCCACAAAGGAGAGCGAGAGGATTTGATCCACTCTAAAGTATCTGTGGGCCAGGTACCCAATAATGAGAACGTGCGTAGAAGGTTTCTGTTTCCAAAGCGTACCCAAACGTCCAGACTCGATGAAAGCCTGTTGGACCCACACGTAGGATTTCTTCGTCTCAAAGAAGAAATAATTCACTGATGAGATGAAACCTTAACAGTCCGGACAGCCGTGAAAGAGTCTGGACAAATCCTGAAGAACGTACAGTCAGGGCCTTAAGATATTTTCAGATGAACCCAAGATTAAGCCTTTTAAGCTTTATTATGCTTTCAGTTATTTCTTACCCATGATAATGCGAGCACCTGTCAGCTATGCAAATCATTGGTGTGGTTTTCGTTTTGTTTTAAAATGAGACAAAATGACCAAACGTGGAGAACTGTTGCTTCCCCGAAAAAGGATAGTCTATCTATGGAGAACGATCAAGCCATATTAAATTATTTGAAAATTCAAAAGATGATTATGTTTGATTGACCTCTAATGATTTTTTTTAAAATAAGAACAAGCTTCTCGAAAAAAGATTTATTTATTATATATCATTAAAGTTTACAATTAACTTTACATCAAAATGAATAACTTGTAAAATAAAAATTAGGACGAGCTCGGGATTAAGATGCGGTTCAACTCCGAGTCTGAGTCCGAGTAAAGACATCAAAAATGGTGGGAGAGGGTCTAATATAGCCTCTGTAGAGTTGCTGAGTCTGCAGGATCTATTATGATGACAGAAGCAGCCGTTCCGGATGTAACTCCTCCACCCCCTAGTTCGGGAATTTTCCTGGAAATTCTTGAATTTGGCGGATTTCATCCTCGGGTGGCCCGGTGAAGTCTGTTGTCATCTTTTTGAATCGTGTCCAAGCCATGGTGGTGATTAAAGTCACTGCGATGATCAATATTATGATGATTGCCAGATTGCTGGAACTCATTGCAGTTAAGAAAACGTTGTTTTTACGATCCACGATGACGTTGGATGGTGTGTTTTGCAGATTCAATTCCTCAAGATGTACTTTGAACTTTGACATCTGAGTGATGTGGAAATTTAAATCAACGTTTGCCAAGATGTTTGGTTGCCCAAAGGAACTAGTCTCGTGTTTCAGGTGTTTTCCTCGATATTTCGACTGTTGTTTGGATTGATGAGGAAGACTCCTTGTAGTGGTTTCTCCTCGGCGATGTCCTGGTCGATGATTTTTAAACGTTCTCCTGTGGGGAAAGTTGCCAGATACTGGTTGATTTGTGGTATCCACTCCAAGTGGTTGGAGAGATGTCCAGTGTTGTGTAGCTGCAAAGTTCTGTACTGCCATTTTCTAACAGGTTCAATTCACATTGAGCGTTTGTGTAAGTTATTAAATCAGGAGTGCAAAAGTGTACATATGCAATTTTTTAGTACAAGTACTCTTTAGTGTAATTATTTGCGTTTTCTCAAGACCCCGATTGTGGTTTGCGTAAATATTTAAGATTTGGAAGTATAGTTACAAAGCTTTCTCTGTACTTGGCAGCTACGGGGTACATTTCATATAGTCGGAAGTTTATATCTTGTACATTAGGTATTTCTAATAAATATACAATTTCTGTAGGTTTGATAATACAATTGACTTTGATAATTTCCTCCTTATGTTTTGTGGGTGAACTTCGAAAGGTAATCTATTTCCATAGTAAGGAGAAATTTTATTTAGTTCATAAAATAGTTCGGATGGGGAAATTATGCTGGGGTGTAATGTTTTAATTTACAAAATGCTATAGAAATTTTTATATCCTGTAATATGTTTAATATAATGTGACATAGAATCTGTATTTGATTTAAGATATTATGTTGTCTGTTTAAATCCATGTAATGGTCAATGTTCTCGTGTAGTTTCAATATCTTCTTAGCAATCTCGTGATTATTCTGGTTTATAGTTTGCAGTGTTTTGTTGTATTCTTTTATGATTTCTGAGTTTAGTGAGTATTGAGCATTTATTTGTGATTGCATATCTTGTTGGTGTGAATTTAAATATTTAATAATTTTTTCGAATCTTTCTTTATCGTTGTTATCTAAGTTACTGGTTATAAATTTAATTATTGTTCCGAGACCGTTTATAATTCCTCTCTTAAATCTATCTTTAATAATATTTCCTTGTGGGTTGATAAATTCTAATTTATCTCTTATAATTTCTCTAGTGTAGTTAATTATTTTACAGTAGCTAGTTAGAGTGGCCCCCATCGGTTAACGTACTAGTCCCGCGTATTAATATTCCTTGTTGGTACAACAGCGTCGAGCGATAGTTTTCGTCAAGGACGTGTAGTTGATTTAAAAAGTGGTTTAGTTTAAAAAAATGTATTAAAACGTGGTGGGACGTCTGTACTTTTGCAATGCCTAGGTCTATAGGTATGAGTTGTGATGTCCGTTATTATCGCTCCCGATGTGACTGCCAAGAGCAGTATCCTGGAACAGATTTGTTTCTTAGTTACCCGTTTTCCTAGGTCGTTTTATATTTTGTAAATGAATTTTGCCTTTTGTGTTGTGGTGTTGGGTCTTTATTTTTGCGGTTTTTAATTCTTTGTTAACAGTATCTATCTGTTCCGGTTTGTAACGGTCTTTGGTTTTGCTCTGTTTTTGTGCGTTTCGCACGTAAACGTCTTTGGGAATTTCAGGGAGGGTTTCCCTGTTTTCGTTCCGTTTGTTAATAGATTTCTCTTTGTTGATTTGGCTTAATTCTGTCGTATAATAATTCAGTTCGTTCTCTGTGGTTTGCTATGTAGTCGTTAGTTAATTGCTCGTCTATATTTATATCTAGTAGGGAGTCTCAATTTATATGGCCACTGTGGATTACAAGTGGTGTGCTTTGTGGCAGAATGTGTCGTGTTGTAAGCGAATATGGTGTAATTCATTTTGTCTTCCATATTCTGATCGTTGAATTCGTCTCTATTTTTGAGTAATCGTATGTTTTCTACGATTGTGGAGTGTAGTCGTTCTGTCATCCCATTTGATCGTGGATGTTGTGTGCTGTTAAAATGTGTGTCGATTTTGTAGACATTAAGTAATTCTTTGACAAGTGAGTGATTGAATTGCACGCCATTATCGATAACGATTTTCTTCCGTATGCCGTAAAGTGTGAAATGCTTGATTAATTTGTGTGTTATTTCGACGACCTGCGAATTGTTAAGTTTATACGCTTGAGCAAGACGTGAGAAAGCGTCTATGGTCGTGAGAAATTTGTTTCCGTCCACTGTAAAAATGTCGATGCGGATTATTTCGTTAGGTCGTGTGGGTGTGGGGGTGACATTCAGTTCAAGGTTGAGGGGCGTTCTGTCGTTTTTTTCTTCAGACACAACTCGCATCTATTGATATAATTTCAAATATGGGTTTTTATGTTTGGCCAGTAATATTTGTTTTTTATTTGGTTATATGTTTCTTCTATTCCTCTATGATTTGTCTTTCCGATGTGATAACTTTCAATTATTTCCATATCCTTTTCTGTATCGTTTTTCACCACACAAAGAGCTGTGTTTTATGTTTATCAAACCCTCAGGGTTTTCTAATTCATTTATTTTAATATTTCTCAATAATGCTTGTCCGTTACATACATTTTTCATTTTAATGGGGATGATTTTTTCGGAATTTGCCTCTATTAGCAATCCGGTTTGTGTGATGTTCTGGGTCGAATCGGATTGTTCGTCCCTAGAGTCGGCATCATCCGAAGTTTTAATATAAGCAATTGAGGATTCTTTCCCCTGTATCTTTATTTTAGTTTTGGAAAGATCAATTTTTGCTTTTAGAATTTTAATATTGTCTGTCCCTAGTAATAGGTCAAACTTTGGAAAATTAAACATAAAGAATTCAAGGCCTGATTTCTCAGCGATTGAGAGATCGTTTGAATTCAGAAGTGCACTGTAATTTTCCCTTGAAGAGCCATGAGTGGAGATCACTTCAAATGGCTTATATTTTATTTTAGTGTTGAAATGTTTTTTTGCTATTTCTGGATTTATGAACGACCTCGTACTTCCAGTGTCGATTAGGATTTTAAAATTTGTCTTTTTGTCGACTATATACGGAAGTTCGTCGTTCTTGTCGCGTTCAATGTTCATTATGTGAAATCTTCTTGTGAAGTTTGGCCTACTTCTAAAAAAGAGTTCTGATCGGGGTTTGACTGTTTTCCCGTGTGTTGGCCAAAATTGGGATTGTGGGAAGTGTTCCTTGTTGATATGCTCATTGGTGTTACTGGGGGTAGTGATGGTTTTGTGTTATATTGCGAAGGTTGTCGGTTTTGGTGTGAGTGTTGGCTCTGATTGTAAAGTTGGCGGTTTTGAGAATATAGTTGACGGGTTTGATAGTTTTGAGGGAAAGGTGGGCGATTTTGGTGATTGAGTTTGTGGTGTTATTGTTGCTTGGTTACTTTTTACGCATTGAAAGTCATTTCGTAATAATATCTCAATGACCATCAGTGTTTGTGGGTTTCTGGTGGCCAAATCATTTCGCCAGGGATCTCTGAGACCAGATATTACATGTAAAACTATTAGTTTTTCATTGTAATCTCCGATAGTATTGGCGTTGGCGTTATTTTCCGTGTAAAGTTTGGATTTGTAAGTTCTGAACTTTTCTATTGTTTCTTTAACATAGTCTAATCTTTTGTGTATTTAGAGTTTAATATTTCGAATAATAAACTATGAGAATTTTGAGTGATTGAAAATTTTGTTATTAGAAAATTTTTTAGTGTATTCCAACTGCAAAATCTGAATCTTGGAGGATTTCTGCCGCTCTTCCGTTTAATTTTCCTTTAATCGCGCGGAAAACACTTCTTCTTGCAAGCTCGTTGATTGTGGGAACGATTGAATTCAAAATTCTTCGACTTCTTTGATAAAATGTGCTAGTTTTTTCGGATTTCCGTCATAGTTCGGAATACTATCAGTGAATACTTTTATTTCTGTTAGCGACGCCATGTTACGTACACTAATGTCTGTTATAGAAAGTTTGTTTAATTGTGTGATTAATTGCTCAATTGTGAATTAAACTTACAGAACGTAGTTTGCAGAGTTGCACATCACAGTTTCTTCACAGCAAGAAGGATGTGGTAGGTCTTGTAGATCGCGGTAACATGTACACTGTTCCCGTGAATCTAGTCCCATGCGACTGCGCCAGTTATAAATTTAACTCAACGACACTCGTTTTTAAGAAAGATTTATTTATTATATATCATTAAAGTTTACAATTAACTTTACATAAAAATGAATAACTTGTAAAATAAAAATTAGGACGAGGTCATGATTAAGATGCGGTTCAACTCCGAGTCTGGGTCCGAGTAAAGTCTTCAAAAATGGTGGGAGAGGGTCTAATGTATCCTTCGCTGAGTCTGCAGGATCTATTATGGTGACAGAAGCAGCTGTTGCGGATGTAACTTATATATATATATATTTTTTTTCCCCCAACCCTAACGGTTAAGCGCCCGTTTTTCGTTACATTGTTAAACTGATTTTACTGCCGCTAAATTTTGAACGTGTGAAAAACGGTAGTTACAACGCAACTAAATATTATCTAATAAATACTGTAAGTAAATAATTTTGAATTAGTAATTGATTTATATCTTTTTATTCAATAATTTATAAAATTTAAAATTAAAATAATGTAATAAATTACTAGTACAATTAATTAATTTGTACATCAAATTATTTTTGGTACATATTTAAAATAGGAGGTAAATCAAAATCTATATAATGCATTAATCTCCATGTTTAATTTTACATTTTTTAATTTCAAATTTGTAAAACCACTCTAGTTCCCTCTCTTTGCTGAAATTGTATAACACTGTTGTATTTAAATTTAAATTTAAATTGTGGAAAACGACTCAAACAATTATAATTTGTTAGTTAGTGGCATAGTGGATAAAACTATAATATAGCTTTCATCTGTCAAATTAACTATTTTTAATTTAAAAAGATAGATGTCACAGCATTTTCTAGCCACGGCTATCAGTATCTGGGCTACCAATAAGGCTTTTTATTACACTTTTATATGCCATGTGAATTAATACACTCAATTAATGCACATAAGCACAGTTAGTATAATTTTATGTGCCCTGTCATTAGCTTACAAATTTTATACGTCTGAGCTGTTTTCCACCGCTTCCGTCTAGATCGACATATTACACTTTTATATACAATGTTAATTAACACTCGTTAACACAATTATTATAGTTTTGAAACTCTGTCACTAGCTTAACTGTAACCTTCTGAGTTGTTTTCCAGCGGTGCCATTTAGGTCGACATGCCTTCTAAATCTCACGGGGATTTCTAACCATGACCCTCGTCTGTGTCACCAATAAGGTATACAGAACATATTGGATCTTAAAATAAGTTTATTGCGTTGCTTAGTGATAAATTCTATGAAGATTTCTGGTTCTTGTAAACAAATTTGATCAACAATGTAAGAACCACTTTGTTTCAGTGCCTGTTGCCATCTTCCATGTAATTTCGTAATTCCGTTCTTCCCGAACGGAAGGCAGATTTTTGAGCGATGACACCCCCTATGTTTTCTGCATTTACCAAATGAAATAAAGTTTTGCAATACGGTGGTTCGGAAGGCATATACAAGCCAAGCTAAAGCAATGTAAATAAATACACGTCCGGGTGGGATCCCTGGTGGAAATCAATCCCATTGCGATTAGCCAATACCAAATCCACAAAATACACATTACCTTCTTGGTACGTCATCCGGTTTTTGGAGTGTTAATGCTGGGTTGCTGCGTCTTTCCGAGGATTCTCTTTTCTAAACAATGTCACAAAGGGGTCACTTTTCATCCCCAGTTATCAACCTTTTTAAAAATGGGTTATTTTTGTTTGGAAATGCAGATGGAGATTCTGTCTGTTCTTACAAACACTCCAGCTTCTCTCAGATGTGTTGAAACGTGTGTATGAAATAATTTAATTGTCTTTGCATTGTCTCGTGTCGTTAAGTTTGGGTTATTTGTTACAAATATTGAATTTGTTCATCACTAATAGATGTAGAGCAAACCACTTACGGACGGTACTTGCTCGAAAAGCGTCATCACCATACCTATCACAAATTTTCCTAATAGTCCGAGTTCAGTCTTTCCCTTTGCGGTAATAAAAACCACTAAATGACGAAAATACTTTATTTTCCCAAGAAGGATAAAATCGAATTATTAGTTATTACTGATTTATGCTCAAATCTAAACAAGCATGTACATATGCATACACTTGTACTGAGTTGACCCTCACCCCGGGTGTTGGCAGTCCGGGGTCAGACCTCAGTCTTATCCGGTTGGACGAGGTTGGACTCGGGTGCTTTCGACATCTAGATCATTTCAGGATCGAACGCAATCAGTTCCTAAATCCATTCTTTCTTTTTTTTTTTTTTTTTGGTTTATATTTTCATATTAAATCCATTCACAATCACACTCACTCTTACATAGATACCATTCACTCAGTTAAGATGGAGTACTCGATATCGATCCATCACTCTTTAATTTATGAACCAGTTAATCGTCTCGGCTGAAACAGGGGATTTTTTTTTTTTTTTTGGTTTATATTTTCATATTAAATCCATTCACAATCACACTCACTCTTACATAGATACCATTCACTCAGTTAAGATGGAGTACTCGATATCGATCCATCACTCTTTAAACCTATTATATAACTAGTCTAATTGAGGACCATGGGATACTCAACATTTCGTCATCCACCCTATCACACTACTCATTCTCGCTAATAAATTCAATCACTCTCAACACATGCTAGAGACACAAAAATATCATAACTATTAAGAAATATTGATAAATAACCCAGTCTCCTTCCAAGAATTAATCTTAATCGTGTGGGAATGGCCCTTGTTCTAAAAATCAGGTCCACCGAGAGCACCTATCGACAGTGATCTTGATACACAAAAAATAGAATTACGGACTTAATTTACTAGCCAATATATACATAAATTATTTTATCAATTTAACTTTGTATAGAAAGGGAATGAAACAACCTCCAGGAAAATTTTATTATTCGGATTTTCTCTTTCCGTATTAATGGAGTTAATACGTTCCCAGGTAACAAAAAATTTCAATTTTTCTTTACCTTAATTCGAAATAGGGTAAGTCAACAGACTTGACTACTTTTTACAAAGAATTATTGATGTCGCCTCGGGTGAAGCGAAACCATTACTCGATGACGCGATTAAAAGTATATCGGGTGAAAACAATGTTCGTGCTCAGAGGGGGAAAACTCTATTTTCTGGGTGGGCGTTGATTAATGAGGCGAAGCTCGTGTGCATTATTAATTTCCTTGGGCCACCTTAGGGATTCGTTAAACGAGGACAAAAGGAACGTACGTCCGCATGCATTTAACGTTCTCCCGTTGTTTTCTGACAGTCATCGAGCCGTAGCAAATTAAGTTAATATGCATATTGGGGGCTGTAACAACCCCCGGCCAAGGTGGCGCATGAATGTAACTGTAATTGTGCCCGGCCACCGGGATACCAGTCCTCCACCTGGTCACCCTTCCCCATCACCATATGAAATAAAACGACCCCTATTTATTACATTTTTGCCTTTTTTTATTATTTATTTTAATCGAGATCTTAAAAGGCCTGCAACTTTTGCGCCCCGCCTGTCGGTTATTGTTAAAAATTCCCGTTCCAGTGACTTTTAATAAAGCTTATCCTGTCTCTCCGGGCTTTTCACGTCAGCTCTTAAATAGACAACTGCAATAACTTCCTGCTGTTTTACTTCAATTCCAATCGAGCGTGCAAACAATTAATACATTCATGGAATTGCAAATTAATGTTCATTGACAAATTCAATCACTTTTAATGGATTTATGCTTCAAGAATAGTAAAAGCCTTTTTGAAACAACGTAATAACAAACACGAGATGTACAACCAAGGTAAAAAAATATTTTTCCGGCCAGAGTTCACATTCATTTTTACTACTTTTTTAAAAATAAATATTTCATTTTCTTTTCAGACGTCTGACGCTTCGTGGTGGCTGAGTATCGCAAAAAGACAAAAAATAAATTATTTGCTGTATATTGAATATATTATTCTGAAAAAAAAAAAAAACAATATTAAACGATAATGTAGAACAAAATAATGTAAAATGAACAGCCTGCTCTCAGTAAGTTTAACTTGTGCTCGAGAGCAGGAGTTGTGAACACATAAATAGTTTAATACTGGAGGGGTCGTCGGTGGCCGCAACGGTTTAGGCGTTGACAAGGCGCTCATCACTGTAAGGTGAAGGTCCCGGGTTCGAATCCAGCGGCCCTGCATTCGAACCCGACATACTTACAAATGGATTTTTTATTCAAAAACACCGGCACCCTGAGGGTTTATATGACCTCTTCTACAGCGAACCCTCGTAAAAAAATAAAAATAAAAAATAAAAATGTGTGGTGTTTAGTGACTGTGATTAGAGATCATCAATGTGTGATGTGATGATGATATACGTATGTTATCGATATTGAATTTCATTAATGATATTATCATCACACAAAACACACAAACAAAAAAATAGGTTTATACATTACAAAAATAAACAAACAATTTATACAAATTAGTGATACTAGTATACATTCAATTTACTTGACTATTGACATTTTAAGTATTTTTTAAATAATTATTTTATTAGTATATTACTTTTAAAAATTTCTCTTCTTCTATTATATATCTTCTTAAAAAATTTGAATTAATCATAAAAAGACAAGGAATTTATATCAGTTTTGTTTTGATATATAAATCCTCCATTACATGTATTGTTATAATGCATGGAAGTGTTTACTTTAGGAACAATAAATTTTATTAACGCATTTGTTCTTGTAGTGTAATTGATGTCCATAATGGGTAAACGTTTATGCTTATAAATAAGAATGACATGAATACACCAAAAATAAATGTTCGACTTTTAACACTTTAATTAAAATCAATGTAGAGTTGTTTTATGCATGTACTATGTTTATTTAGCAATATTTTGACTGAAGAATTTTGATCAATAATTATTGGGGAAATTGAGAAAATAAAATATTGGAATATGCTAATGCAAAACGAACAGACCTCATTAAATCTGACTGAAGAATATTTCTTAAAATTTTAAATTTACAAAATAATTTTCTAAAATTTTTTTACCAAAGGATCAATATGAAACTTAAAGTTTAATTGATTATCAAAAAATATTTCTAAAAATTTAATTTTCTTAGAAAATGGTGTAATCGCGCAATTACAGTTAAATGAATTTACACAAGAATGTAATACTACGTTTTGATTTAAGTTGTTTTGATTTAAGAGATTTTTGGTTTATGTCCATTTAAAAGTAAAAAATTACCCTCTAACCATTTTTTAATTACCATTATTTCAACGTGAATATATTT